CAATACCAGTCAGTCTAAGCAACTGCGCACTCCCTTCCCTAACCCATTAACAATCAACTGATAAAAGTTAGGGTTAAAGTCGGGTTGGGGAAGAAGTGAGTGCGCAACTGCTTCGCGATACTAACATTGATCCCAAACAACTTTGAAAGGAGAAAAGCACTTAAGCGTAGTCACATGTTGATTACAAAACTTCCTTTTATAGTTATGGATGACGTTAAATGTCTTATTTGGTTGTTTGTTTGTAGCTCAGCCTGTTGTGATCGTTGATTGACGGAGTGTAAAGTACTTTAGGTTTTATAGTTAAAGTTCACAACTAAATTATAGATCCTGTGACAATCGCGTGGGTGTTGTGAATATCGCGTGACCATGATACTGAAATAAACAGGATTTAGAAGTTGAATGAAAAACATGGAAAATTCCAAGCACCGTCACGAATTATCACGCAGGAATACTTAAAAGTTCCAAAAACTAGCTTATCGTTTTTATTTAGTTGTATCTTTCAGAGCTTATCGTAGAGTTGCACCTTTACATCAACTTCCAGTGTAGGTAACTTGGTTTTCAAACTGAACGAACCTTTAAGATACAAAACAAAAAAAGAAAAGTAACACACACACACTCATACACATACACAACAAAAGTAAACAAATAGAGTGAATTTATGCGTGACAAACATGATTGAATGGTTGTCTTCGATTTGTGATTTTCTTATCGTTAAAGCAGGTTTTTAATATACTACTTTGGATTAATAATAATACAGGTGAATTGGCCATTTTTAACCTGATGTACAATAAAATTCGCATACGCAAAGGTGTGAATGACTTTGAACATTAATTACGCTGATTTTGTGACTATTCGTAACCATCCTAGTTCCATGTAACTGAGTTTAACCATTGATCTTTCAGTTTAAAAGAGATTAACATATAAAATATCCATGCAATTTTGGCACATTATCCAATAGAAAGATGACGAGAACATACAATGTTATCAGCATCATCATTAAAATTTGATCTATCTGCCAATTCTTATGACCTATTTATAGGCAAAAGTATAGCAGTTCAAAGGGAAAGGTTAACATGGCATCTGCTGTGACACTATCCGATGGACGAATTGTGACGAGCGCGTGATGTTTACATTGATAGTTCTTAACTTGCTGGTTTTATTGGAGGTTAGAGTTTGAATTTCGCGAATGGAATAGTAGCAACAACTGATCCGGTTCATCATTGAACATGGGCACAAATTGTGCTAAGATTTGCTCGGAGAAAGAGACAAATACCAGGTGAGCACCCTTGCCAGAATTGCCAGAATTGCCAGAATATTTTTAGGATGTCATACAATGGTTTTGCCTGCTGCGTGACATCCTAATAGATGGCTGCGAAAGAGACTAGCTCATAACCAGTAAACACGTGATGGATCGAGGGCGCTAAATCGAATCACTACGGTACGCGCAAAGAAAGTGGAATATGTTTGAGAGTCTGTATGTCCAGCAGAGTTTAGACATACCGAGTTATAAGTACGTTCAGTGGTATGGGTAAATCTTTACTCTTTTGTGTGGACGGGAAACTATCCTTTGGGGATAGTTACTAATAGTTATCTAATAATAATTTTTCCCGTTGGTTTCCCGAGGTATTCTTTTCGAAATCTTTTGGACAATTGTGTAAACTGGGTTAGGTATGTGCAAAAATGCAAAATAAAAATAAATAAATAAATAAATAAAAAAAACTAGTAAGAAAACTTAAATTCTGTGCAGTCATCATACAAAAAAAATCTCGAGGCCAACTGGAAAAGATTTGACTCAATTGAAACAGTCACGAGTTCCAGCGAACTTGATGACTGAAAAGTTCGTAAGTTCCTCTGAAATTGAATGCTCAAGTTTAAAGTACATGTGAATTGGTGAGACCGATATTCCTAAAATTCATCATCTGCTTCTTGCAGAAATCTCCATAAATGATATCAAAAAGCTTTAAAACGCGTTGTCATGTCTCGGGTTAACAAATTACGAAATATAGGTTGTAGTAACAAACTCGCGTAAGAGGTTGTGACGTTCGGCACGTATTCAGAACTACGTCATCGAGGCAACACGTGATCTAAGTACGCCCCCAGCCACAAGTGTAAGCGATGGATTTAGTTTCGAGATCAGACACGGTGGGGCGCAGAATTTCTATCTAGTAACGGCGCTCAAATCGAGCTAACATCTCGTTCTATACCCTAGACGATTTTGAAGAAAAAATGGTCGATGTCGATGGCAGCCTTTTGGGGTCGAGTACCATTAGAGAGATGCTCTCTCACGAAAATTCGGATAGTGGAATTGTGAGCGACTACAATTCAGACGAAGAGGATACCGTTTCTGTCGACGGGAGTGTGGATTTTTGGATGATATTGAATGAAAAGATGAGGTAGGAGTTATGAGCGAAAAATTTTCTTGAGTACAAATCGGCGAAAGATCGAGCAGTCGTTTGTCAGCTTCCAGTTTCCTCGAGCTGCACCTCCTTGTAGCGAGAATTGTAATTTAAGAGGCAGTATTTGATTAAGCTCATTACAAACTCTATGCAAAGCATCTCTCTGTCTCGGTAGTTGTGGATTGCTGAAGCACATTTGGGAAATATGGTATTGAAAAATACGCATCAAGGCTCATGTAAATTGAGAACAGACGGCTGATTCTCCAAAACATTGTATCATAACAGTTTAACATAACGGCAGACACTCAAACGTATCGTTTGCTATCTTTCACGCCATCGCGATCAAATGAAATTTAAAATTCGCTAGTTTACAAGATTCCCAAACAAGTTTTTACGGTAAGCGAATTGTTAGACTCTATAATGCAATGAAATGGCAAAATAAGGTAATTCAGTTTTGAATTCTTACACACGCTTCGCTGATTCCTTATTTGCTATTTCCAGGTCCATGACCTTTTTTGTTCCAATTGTGTTGACAACGAAACCTGTCTGATGTGAACTAATTAACACTTCACACTGAGCTACGTATCATTTTCAGCTGTGGGCTCTGTTCGTAAAGTTGTGCAATCTGTTTTCGAGCTGTGTTGCTGATCTGTTCTAATTAACGAGTTCCCTGAAGGAATCTGATAAGCTATTGCAGAAGCAGATTGAGAAAGACAGTGGTATGTTGCAACTTTTTTCGAAGAAAAAAAACGGGCGAAAAAGAGCCATGTCTGAGGCAGCTCACTGGCATAAAAATTTTTACTGTGCCTTTGTTCTTTCAAACACTTTTTTCTTAGTGATTAGAATAAGTTGAGAAGTTTGATAAACAATTTCGGTTAGAAACTTCGATGAAATTCTCATTTTGAAGCAACGGTCGGGTTTAGGGAGATTTGATTGTTGGGCCCCAGTCGGCGATATCTCATTGTGAACTTATATAACAACTTACAATAATTTCAAAAGGTCATCTTATTTCTGCACTTTCGGTTTCTCAATGACCTTTTCACTGGAAAGGTATTTATAGTCTGCGTTAGTTCCAACAACTCAGGCAAGCTAATTTTTTCTTTTGGAGCAAACATTTCGAAAGGGCGCGATCGATGTGTATTTTGTTACTATTGCATTATATACGTCGCAAACTCAAACATGCAGGAACACGTGAACGAGCAGTTATATAAGTTAAATCCATTAGGGGTTGTTTTTTTAGTTGGTGTGCTGAAAAAATACAACTTTCAAATTAGCACTTACCTGCAGATGTGGAGAGATTCACGAGAAGGTGTTTACTTGATATTGTGATTTGACTGACTTTGACAAAGTTGAAAGAAGTGGGAAGGACCTCGGGTAGGGTTGTTCGTCTTTGTTTACGAAGGCAATCAAGTCAAAAAGTGACCTTTTGCATATTTAAGGTTCAACTGAAGACTTACCTTTTCCTTAACTCAATTTGTTTGATTTGCTCTCTTCTTGAAAGAGGAATCATCAAAAAGCTTTTTAGTTTCTCAGGGACTTGCCTTAGAATTCTTTGTTAAATTAGGAACAGAAGCAAGCTTTTGGTTCTCAGGAATGAAAGAACATTAATTAATTAAGAGGATGAAGCATAAAGACTTTCAGAACAATGTTGCTTTCCTACCCAGATAGATAGGGAACTTTTTAAGAAAGCCCAACATTCATATTGTGCTTAAATTTTTCAAGTTCATTATATTAGTTGCAGTCTGTTTCTATTCGTTATCCTTTATTGTCATTTTTTACTTTTGTTTTTTCATTTTCCAGTGGACTTTAGACTAAAAGTTCCTTGTTATGAACTCTATGGGGGTCATTGCATGGCATTCTTTAGCCTCACAGTGCCTCTGCACACTGAGAGGTATAGATGGGTAAAACAAATTGTCTGACATCCTATCTTGGGATTGTCACATCATTGTTAAATCCATCAGCCTGCAGGGACCAGGGATTTTAACCCTGATATAAGTTTTTTTTTAATTATATGATGTGCAAACCTTACTATTCTTGTGGCTATAAAACTGCAAAGTGGAGAATTATTTGTGGCTTGAAAATGTCCCTATTAGTTCTAGTCGTTCATCCACACAATTCGGAAGGAAGTTAGGTAGTCGGGGTGTAACAAAGTGTGAAGTCTCCTTTGAAACCATGAAAACGTGGCCAATATTTAACCTGTCAACTCTAATGAGTGACCAAGACAGAATTTCTCCTTATAATATCAACACAGTATCAAGCAGGCATGTGAGGAGAATAAGAAAAACATTGGTTAGGGGATTATTAGTTGATCCAATACTAATGCTCTGAAGTAATGTCATGAGAATTGTGTGGCTGACAGTAAAGAGAACCACTAATCAGATCTTGGGAACAAAGAATTTAATTCTTACTACCTATTCATATCAGCATATATTTTTGTACATGATTATTATTTTATATGTTATATATAGAAGTGTCCCCAATTAGCTTCTTTAGGTAAATACCCTGACACATTAACAAAGTGTATGTATGACTGAAAGGGTTAAAGCAACTTCATGCGAGTGAAGACTCAAACTTACTGGTATCTTTCTCCTGTTTGCATTTTAGAGAAATAATGGTCCGACAAAGTGAGGTTGAATGGAGTAGTAATTATTGTCACTTGAAAAGCCACAAAATTGTTCAACCAAGCAAAAAAGTTTATGCTGCTGCAACAGGCCCAGAAGATGGTGCAAAGAACATTATTCTAGAGCTGACCAGTAAACCAGAGTGTAAGAAAACCCAAAAAGTAAAAGATTGTGATCCATTCAGGGAATGGATAAAGGGGCACTCCCGCGCTTATGGAATTGGAACCTCACTGTATGACTGTAATCCAAACACCAATTTATTTTCTGGAGACCCAGTGGCTGATGTCTTTGCAGTGATTGCGGGAGAAAATAGTTGCATTCTTGCTCTAGCTGATGGCGTAAACTGGGGAGAGAATTCTAGGTTAGCTGCACGTTGTGCTGTTGCTGGATGCCTCTATCATTTAAGCAAGCATTTGTATACAGCAACTACAACTCAAGAGATTATGTCCATGCTTTTTAAAGCATTTGAGAATGCACAGAATTGCATCATTGAAAAGAATGCAACAATGACGACTCTTTGCGTGGCTGTCATTTGTCAACTTAAAGAAACGGACAGATGGGGACTTTGTGTTGTCAATGTTGGGGACAGCCTTGCCTTTGTTTACAGAAAAAGCAAGGGGGTTCAAGAAGTGACTATTGGCTCCCATTATGACACTCAGGACAGAGACATGCGGGATCCTGGTGGCTCTCTGGGGCCTGTGGATGGCTACAACCCTGATTTGAGGAATTTAACTTTCTCCTTTACCTTTCTTGATGCAGGAGACATTGTCTTTCTCACCAGCGATGGTGTTTCTGACAACTTTGACCCTGTGGTAGCTCAGTGTAATCACTGTTCAATTCCTGAACTGGTGCGAACCCACAGTCTCGATTCCATACTGCATGAAATCACAAGGAATGCAAGAGACAAGGAAGAGAATTTATCCTTGACAAGTAGCAGCAAAAGCGACCAGGACATTGTACGCCATGAAACATACGATGTCCCCATAGCAAGACACCAAAAGATGCTTGCTGACATGACAGAGGTAAATTGAGTGTTTGTATTTATCATATTTTGAGAACAGTCTGTGTTATTGTATTTTGTTTGGGAGCAAGAAAGTTAATTTACAGTGTCTCTCTACACCCAGAAGAAATGGGCATCACTGAAGGATCAGGGAAACCTGACTAAGTGCCCCAACCATAACTCAAAGCAACGTCATACACCAAGCTTCATTTTCATAATGAGAAAGCTTGAATTTTGACAAGCATAAACAATGGCTGCAGAAGAGAAAACATGTCATAATTTAGCTTTTAGGAGAGACACTTTGCTGTTGCCACGCTACCTTAAATTTAAATTTACAATACCAGAAGGACAGGGTGCTATGAAATAGCCTCCTGCATATTATGTTAATACTTAAATTGGCCATTCTAAATATTTAAAAGATCAAACTTTGCTCTGGGGGAATAAAACAAAAGAAATCACATCGAGGCTGAGGATGGATTAATTAGTTTCTTTTATTTTATTTCCCCAAGCCTTGGAGCCATGTTAGAATTTTTATATATTGAACTTGGCCTATTCAGAGAAGTTGGTCGTCTTCACGTTTTTATTACAAATTATGTCTCAATTAATATGTTTGCACTTTTCCTTTTAGGTAATTGAGAAAGAAAGTCTTGAAGATCACATCTCGGCACTTGATGTCTGTGTCAAGCTCCTCTCACATGTTGCAGGGTGCACTGATACAAAGCGCAAATATCTAGAGCAAATGAACAAAGATGATCAACTTTTAACTACAACAGACAGGAGATATCGTCGAGCCAGAGACAGAGAAATTTCACGGCATATGCGAGAGCTGCCAGGCAAGTTAGACCATGCAGCTGTGGTGGCATTTGAAGTTGGCTACTTCTCTACAGAGCCTAAGCAGCCAGAGCCAGAACAACAGACTAATGGAATACCCAGACCCATCACTAACTTTTTTCGTAGACTTGCAAGAAAGGGAAGATCGTCAGAGGAAGAATATAGCAATTCTATTGAGATGGTTGCCACAGATTCCTTTAAGGAGCTATACTCCTTGTTTGGTAGTTAGATGATTCCCATACAACTCTATAGTGCACACATTTTATCAGGGTTGAAAGCCAATTTTACTGAGAAGTTAAAACCATGTTTAAAGTGACATGTGCAGTTGTTTATTTGCTCTTTTTTGCAACATCCATTTGTTTGAGATATAATGGAGTGAACTTTCTTTTAAACTACCTCAGAATAAGGAAAACCAACAGGACTTTTCCATCTACATGTTCTTTCTTCAGTCATGTTTTTCAGAATCATGTGCACATTCTTTCGTTTTTCTTACTTAATAGTAGTGCTCAAAAGCCTCTAAGAATATTTGTAAGAGTAATTTAGTTAAACAGTTGAAGATTGGGGGTTCTAGAAGAATACAAAGAGGCTGCTACACAGTAACACTACAATTGGTAATGGACTTTTTCCATGTTTAGGTCATTTTATTTATGCTTCTTTAATTTATTTTTTTTTCCTTTTTTATCACTACATTTATTAATCTCAATATGCCAAAATTATCAAGAAATTTGAAATCTGAGATCTGGTAGCTTAAGTTAGAATATGTCTTCTTGCAAATGCATTTTCTAATTTTTATGTTGGTTCATGGAGAAAAACCAACAAACAATAGTTCAAAATTTAGATCACATGACATGACATGTTAGGGAAGTAAATGTTTATTTTTTCTTTAGTTCTAATGCATCTCGGGAGTACATTTTGAAATCATGTCACAAAATTAAAGTGAAAATCCTCAATCAGATTATCTTTGTAACTAATTATAACATTTCTTATTATAGAAATAAATTGCAGGAGTGCTAGTTGATAAATACTGTTCACTTGATATCTTATTTGTTTTAATTGGGACACTGGGATAACCTTCATGAGGGACTTACAACATGACTCTGGATTACCTTAGCACTTACTGCCTCCCAGTTAGCCCAATGGATAGAGCGCTCGACTGTTGTGCGGGAGGTCGGGGGTTCGAGCCCCGGCCGGAACAACACTCAAGGTCTTAAAATAATTGAGGAGAATATGCTTCCTTTCTATAACATCAAGAAATGGTTAGATATTCTAGTCTTCTCGGATAAGGACAAATAAATGGAGGTCCCGTCTCCTGCAGGAGGGGTAGGAGACGTTAATTTGCCACGCACGAGATTACTGTGTGATGGATGTCCTTCCCCGGGGTGGGATGGGTGGGTTGGGTTTAGGTGGATGAACCTAGTAGGGGAATACGTGTCCTATTGTTCTTCCGCCTGCACAATGTACAAATCTTCAGAAACTGCTTGACATTTAAATTCTCCTCACAATTTCAGGGCATTACCCTGCAAAATTGTGATGAGCATAGATAGATCCATCAGATCAAGGGAGCTACCTTAGTGTAATACCAATTGATCAGAACTGTTTACCAGGAAGTGTGTGGCCGCTGATCAGGAGGATTAGAAATCATATTTTGGAAGTTTCAGGTTAAGGAAAATTCATGCATCGCTTTGATACTTAAAATACAATGTAATCAATCAGCGTTTGCAGTTTTCACCGGAATAAAGGAAATCATTTTGATCATCAACCAAATAAAATGTGAATGACACTGCCATGCCCCCAATTTGGAAACTAAGAAGGTTGCTGTATTTATTATTTTGAGCTTACATGTTAACATCTGGGGCCACAGGGTGTGGCAGTGAATCATGATTCTAATAGAATTCCCACGATTTAGGCATACATCTGCAAGCCATGTGTGCTAAAGCTACACTTTAATGTATTCTAAGTTAAATACTTTTAACCGAATTCTTGAAAACGTTTTGCATACAATTAGACTTCTGATTTATAAATAGAACAGATTGCCTTCTTTTAGACACAAGATCAAAACGAATTTTTTAATAAAATTTTTCTAGTCTAGGAGATCAGCAACAAATTTTTTTTATCAACTTATTAAATTTGTTTACATAATACAAAAAGTGAATGATATATAAATCATACATACACACGCACACACACACACACACACTGTTACCTTCAGATCCATTTCTGCATCTGTGAAGACTCGTGACAATTCCAGCCGGTTTGTTAGACAGTATGTGAACTATTTTCAGCCAGGGCCCATTAATACCCTGTTTTCGCTCAGTAATTTATTTGTTAATGATTTCTTTCATGAAAGAGTTAATTTTTGAATATACAAAGTTACGACCATTCTTGAGGCAATTTGAATCCCATTTATATGAGCAGGGCTAAAGATAAAACAAATATAATAACGCTACAGGGCTCAAGTTTCTAATTACCGAGCCAAAAATTGCTTTCAATGAAAGGTTAATTGTAATTCTTCAAGGTAAGAAAAACGAGAATTGAATCCGTGTCTTACAGATATCGGTTGGACGTGGACCACGAGAGGTCCCTCCTTTTAGGCAAAGTCCGTCGCGCGAGTAAAAAAAAAATTAGCGAAAAAAATTATGTTAGCGCGCCTCACTCCCTCAGTAATGCGCGCGGCTTGATTTTTTTCACTCGCACGATAGCCTGCGTGCAGAAGACTTTCCTTCGTTCCTTCGTTAAGTCCGTACGAACTTAACGAAGGAACGAAGGAAAGTCTGTCCGAACGCAGGCTACTCGCACGACGGACTACGCCAAAAAGGAGGGATTGCTTGTGGTCTAATTTCGACGTTACTTCCAACTTAGCTCGGAAGTCAAAAGCCTGAATCGTCATTAACTTTGATGACAATATTATTAATCCTTGACGACAAAAGTTGCTTTTTTGGATTTCATCCAAAGATAATCGTGTGTTACTGCACATTTCAATCAATTTTATTTTCGTTTTTATTATCCTCTTTCCGGGTCACGAAAGTTTCCGCTTAACGTGATGTTTCTTGCCAGGAAGTTAGCTCAGTAAAATCTTTTGTCTCAAAGTTTCGTGTCGAGTTACAAGGATCACGACTGAAGCACGTAGTCACGACAAAAAGGCAAGTGTACATCTTCTCTGTGACAAATTGAAACGAGATTATCAGCCGATTCAGTCGTGTTGTTTTTCAGCCGAGATCACAGATTTGCCTTACATCGCATACGAAACTGGAGGAAAGGAAAAGATAAAACGGCAGGTTTGGAATCGTTTGGACGCAATTTTATCGCCGTGACTTTGCTCTGGCTTTATTTTAAGTCTGCGCCTGAAACTCAGCCGTAGGAGTTTTACAAAACCACATTTCTTGACTCGTTCCTGTGTGTTTCCACAATCACTCTGACGCATTTTCAAACTGTTTAAAATGCAAAAACCCGAGGTGGAAATAATTTTCATTTTCAGTTGGAGACCATTCCCCCCGACGCATAGCGTGATGCTAGCAGTTTTATCTTCAGACGGCTCCAAATCTTGATGCTTTTTCACGAGCAGGCGGAATGATTATTCCTGTAAAATGACCCTTGATTACCTTTACTGTGAAGTTACTCCAATTGATTTCCATAGATTTTACAAACGTTTGTTTATCACACAGCGCTAATTCGATTATGATGTAATTACTTGTTTTATCGTGACTCCAAGGTAGCTTCTGTGGGGTGTCATATTCTCAGCCTCCCCCCCCAAAGGAAGAGTTGTCGATACGCCCAGAGGTGCAAAAGTGATTTTACTCTTCCTATATGCAAAACCGAGCGCTTGAAAAACAGTTTTATTTTTAGCCATATTCATAAGATGTAGATAATTTTCCTTCTTTCTTAATGACGAAGTTGTAATATTTTATACTTTTATCATGTATTTGTAAATATTCCGTAATTCAGCCTAGAGCTGCAAGGTGTTTATAATAAAGTATCTATCTATCTATCTATCTATCTATCTATCTATCTATCTATCTATCTATCTATCTAAGTAAAGCTTTGGAAATCAGCTTGAAAGCGTGCGAAAATCTTTTTTTGTGGCGACTACCTCCTATTATGTTGATCAGAAAATAAAATAATCTTTTCAGTTCTTGCCGTGACACTACAAAAGAAGAAAACATCTCAAAATAATTTCACAATAGCATCCACCGACGCATAATTTAAATCAGATTTTTTTTTTCCTGCAGAAATGTCTCAATAGATGTGATCAGCACATCATAGAAGCTTTTTCTTTAAAAAGAGAGCATTTCACTGTTTGAATCAGCACTTAATTAAATCGAAAAGAGCCGCTAAATTTGGAAAGCGAGCACGCTGCGAAATACGATATACCTTAAGTTTTCAACAAAACGATGGAACGGAAGAACGGGGGAAGGAAGGAAGGAAGGAAGGAAGGAAGGAAGAAAGGAACGGAGAAATGAAAGAACGGAGGAACGGAGGAACGGATAACGGTGGATCGACGGAATTGCGGAATATCTTAAGACGCGGAATGACGTAATATCTTGTAACGTGGAACGCCTTTTTGTAGGAAACAAACATCTTAAAAGATAGAATTGCAATAAGATAGATGAATTATTTATAATCAACAGGCGAATTAAAATAAGTATAGGTAATCATTGTTAGAGCCCAGAGGATTGCGGAACCATAAATATTTCGAGCTAGCCCATTTAAATTGTTATCATATCAATATTGTTCTCATAATAATTATTGCTGTTAATACCACTATTTTTCACCAGGGAGAATCAGGGAGATTCTTAAAAATAGCTCAAGCCTCTTCTCCATTATTTCTTCTGAAAACTGGCCTCTTGGCTGAAGAGCAGGGGGACGCGTTACCTGATCATCTTCAGATCTTAAATCACCTGAAGAGCAGATTGTTAAAGCAAATGATGTACTCTAATTTGGAATACACAAATTCAATTGTTATCATTCTCAATGCCTCTTAAGATCTAAAATCAAAATTCGCATGATCAGCTCCACATTTTATCCTTCTCAATGCAGCCCTGAGTTTCACGGAAATGAACGGAGATGATTAATTCCCTTCTTTTCCCTTCCCTCTTGTCTGTAACAGAAATGACATCGCCGCAAAGTGGTGTTCATTGGAGAGGATTTACGAACCGTCGCGATCTCCCGAAACACGAACTGGTGCAAATGGGAAAAAACATTTGCGAAGCAGCTACAGGCCCAGGTGATGGTGTTAAAGACATTTTCCTTGAGATAGCGGATGACTGTGAGCAAATAAGTAAATGGAATACAGCCCAGGAACCCCGAAGAGCGTTTGGCAAAGGGACGTCGTTGTACCACCAAGATCCAGTCTCAAATTGCTTTTGGGGGGATCCTGTCGCTGATGTCTATGCCGTGATTGCAAGAGAAAACAGCTGCATTCTTGCCTTAGCTGATGGCGTAAGTTGGGGTGAAAAGTCAAGGCTGACTGCTCGCTGCGCAGTGGCAGGCTGTCTACAGCATCTCAACACACACCTTTTTACAGCAAATACGACTCTTGATATTATGGAAGTTCTCTATGACGCGTTTAAAAATGCGCACGAATTTATCATAAAGAAAGATGGATTGCTGACAACTCTTTGTGCGGCTGTTGTTTGTCCACTCAAAGATTTTGGCAAATGGGGCCTGTGTGTGTTAAATGTTGGCGATAGTCTAGCATTCACTTACAAAAAGGAAAAAGGGGTCCAAGAAGTTACTTTTGGTTCACACTGTGATATTAAAAGCAGAGACATGCGTTGTCCTGGAGGATCACTGGGTCCATATGATGGTAACAACCCAGACTTGAGTAATCTGACTTTCTCGTTTACAATTCTCGATACTGGAGATATTGTCTTCCTCACAAGCGATGGTGTTTCGGACAACTTTGATCCAGTAATATCGCAGTGCGAGAATCTTTCTTTCGCGCGCGCCAACAGTCTCAACTGAACGCTAGAAGAACCGGAAGTGAGTGAAAAGACCTCAGATGCCTCCCAAGATGAGAGCGGAAGTGATGATGACCTACCGCACGCTCAGCTATGTAACCTGCCAATGGAGAGGCACAAGAAGATGCTGAAGGATATGACAAAGGTATTAGATCTTTTCTTTAAAAAAAATTGGGTTCACCCTTTGACCTCCCAAGAGAGACTAACCTCTAATTTCTTCTTCCAATATCACCCCTGAATTAAACGTTACAGCCACTAAAATAAAGGAAATGATCACCAACTAAAGAAGCTCTTAATTGTTAAACAAATTCTCCTTGTTGGCACCCAAGGAAATGTAGAGAGAGAGAGCAGTTTGGAGAATATGCGGGCTAATGTTATTGTTAATGTTAATGATGCAAAGGATCAACCTCCGGTTTATGGAGGCAACAGTGCTGTAAAAGGAAAATTTCCCAAATGAAAGTCTTATGTCAATTTTCTTCTTGTTTGATCAGGTCATCCGGAAAAAAAGTCTCATAGACATTTCAGCCCAAGCAGTCTGCGCTAATCTCCTTTTGCATGTCTTGGCATGCACTCACAAAAAGCGCCAGCACCGCGAAAAAATTCAGGCCCGAGGGAGTCACAATCTTTACAGAAGAGAAGAAAGAATTCATCAAGGAAGCGAGAAAGGAACTTCGCAGCTTAACTGTGAACTTCCGGGAAAGTTGGATCACGCCGCGGTCGTCGCATTCGAAGTTGGACTGTACTCCACGGATGGCGGCAATCGACGAAGTCTTTTCGAATTTTTTGCCGGACTCAAAAATGGCATGAGAAGAGCATCCAGTTCTTATTGATAATGATTTTTCAGGAATAAGGGGAAAGACAGCGTTTTCCAACACGACGCGTACGGTTCAGAGCGCTTTTCGATCTAGTGTCGTTAAACCTAAAACCAACGTCATCATAACAGCCAATCAGAACAAAGGAAATATCACAAGGAGCCAATTTGCTGCCGCAAGTTTTGTACTCGGTCACTATGTTAAGAACTTTTGGGATGTACTTAAAATCGGATGGCATCCAATCAATGAGAGAAGAGATTTGAACCTCCTGAAATAATGCTTTAAAGCTTTGCATAACACTGAGACTTGGCCAGATTATCTTAAAATAATAATACAGGAATGCCGCAAGGAAATGCGCTCAAGTAATTCAATTAGATTAGTGGTCTCGACCGAAAACAGCACTTTCCAAGATAACGCGTCGAAGCTATTTAACAATTCACCAGAATCTATTAGAAACTGTAAAGATTACAGAACCTTTTTAAGACATTCAAGGAATTTTTTATGTAATAGAGTAAAGAGTGATTAGTTAGTTTTACTGTTATTTCTATTCTGTTAATCCCACTTCTACTTTTAATTGCATATTGCGTAATTTGTGAATAACTTAATTTGATTTATTTTAATTGTAATTGATGTATTTCAACAGGGAAGAGCCACCTAGTGGATCTGTTAATAAACCATTATTATTATTATTACTATTATTATTATTATTATTATTATTATTATTAGAACTTAGCAAATAACCTGCCTGAAGCGCGGGAAAACGTGAGAGGCCAATTAGCGGCTGGCGTTGGTTTCATATCTGATTGGTTGAGACGGTGGCGCGATTTTCCAAAACCAATCACGCAAGCGCAATTAAACAACCAATAGAAACCGGCTTACTTTTCACGCTCAATAGAAAACTTTTATAAAACCACATAGCAACTTTGGTTGTAAAATTCATATTTTGCGTGTTGTTGAAGAGCGCAACAAACCCGTAAGTGCTTCATTTCCTAAATAAATAAAATTTGGGTACAATTTTAAGGCGAGGTTAGGAACATAGATCTGACCAACATTCGAACTGATGCAAGTAAATTGAAAGGAAACCTGAATGGAACTATACCCCCAGCGAACATACTTTCCCACAGCTTTATTACCTTCCCCGTAAATATTTCTTAGTGTCCTAACATAATTTGGTTTAATCAACTGAGTTGAAATTATAAATTGGAATTGTGGGTTGTGTTTGCTTTTAAAGGGAGAAAAATTGCCTACGGTAAGAATTTTCCTAAACTGACGTTTCGAGCGTTAGCTTTTTGTATATTCGCTCCAACGTAGGACTAACGTCAGCTCTAGAGGCTCTTCAAGGTGCACAATTTCTATTATCAACTCAGTTGAAAAAAATAAATGATCTAGTAATATTACACACCGACACAGTGCCACAGTTTCTTTGGGTACTTCCCCCCTTTATCCTAAAAACCCAGTTTTGCATCTTTTCATTTTACCTCAGAATAGCTTGGTTTTGTCACTAAGAAATCCAGAAATGCGTAGGCTCTAGTTTAGAAAGGTAAAAATGATTTCAACATATTATTACACATTTTTTTGTCCTTTATCATGATGTCTCACATTTGGCTAAAGGTTTTCAACATGGGAGATTATGAAAATTAGTTGGAACTATTTACTTCTTTAAAGTGAATGCTTTATAAATTACTTTTTAATCACCATTTAAACCAAAAACAAACTTAATGTAAATATTGAATGATTAATAGTTTAAAATAAAAAGATCAATGAATACTAAAACCAATACCAGCCATATTTTTCAGGAAATGGGAGTATTTTTTTAATGACATGATTTTTTTTAGGTTAATTTTTTCCTCCGCACTATGAATTTTGGGGAACGAGACTTCAATTGGGGCTGAAGCTTCTCAGCTTGAAGGCAGCATAATGCAAGGCCAAATGGGAAGGTGGCCACACGGCTTGTTACCTTTTCAATGAACTACTGTAAAATAAGAGGAAAGCACCTCCTCTCCTTCGCAAATCTTACACACAGACACTAATGCAACAATTCTAAGAAATGAGTTTTCACCGGCAATATTACCACTACCGTACCAAACATTTGGAAGATGTTTCCAAAGCTTTGGTGCAACACTTTGCAAAGGGATATCCAGTTCTTGGTATGCCACATTAGCTGGCTTGTTCTTTGTCCTGTTATTGACATATTGTCCCACAGCCAGTGGATTTTGAGGATCACTTGTGAGCCAAGTGGTATCACATGGAAAATATGGGCCGATTTGATCCCTTTTGGCACTTGACCTTGAAGAGAAGGAGAATCACTCAGAGGAAGATCAAGGAATTCTTCTTAAAAGGAAGGGGGGTCCCCAAATTACACCCTTCCCACAACCTTTGACTTAGAGTGACACAAGAAAATCAGACAGTTGAGTACTAACATGCAATCTTGTAATTGCAAAAAATTTGGTGTAGGACTTGCCGTAAAAAACCCACAGTTATGATACAAGTGGGTGGATGGAAGGAGACAAACTCTCCTGGACCATCCTTTTATACCTGCCATTGCTACTCTGTGAGATCACTTATTAGCCATCTTCTTAACAAGATATCAAATTACAATGAGAACTAATACATGGATCACCTAGAACTCCAGGGGAAGACAAAGTGATTAACACTCATGAATAAACATCTACCCTCCTTTTCCACTGGTCAGTTATAATTGAAAGTGTGCATGTTGGGACCAGAAAATTTTGCAGTGAACCAGATTGGCCCGGCCACCAAACACTTGTCCAGTCCACTTCCTCCAGGACCTGTGAGTTTAGTTTTAAGTGACATGATTCTCTTAATCATAACCTGTTCCATGCTGGCAATTAATGGGGCCACATGGGTACATGAAATATGGATTTGGAGAAATGAGTATGAGCTCTCAGAAAAGTGAAAAATGACAAAACTTATCCCTAGTAACTGTAACCTCTGCTTCCTTTCCCATTTTTCATGCATCCACATTTATTCATTTCTTCCTTCTAACTAAGATTCTGGAACAGGCTACCTTAATCAAAGCAATCAGTTCTAAAGAGAATAAAAATGTTGTTATTTTTCATCGATTACCTGTAGATGACTTTGGACAGTCCTTAATCACTGCCATCAATAAGGATCCCATCAATACAACGGAAGACAAAAGGATTTCCGATTGACTGAATCAAGATGGGTTCATATGGCCAATAAATTGACCCTACAAATAAGAACAGCAGGGATGTAGATAATAGCTGGAAGCTGGGAAAATTACCCGGCCGTGAACACAATTTTTCCAGCTGTAAAGCATTACTTCTTTCTCCAAAATGTTTTTAAATGTTGTCAGAAGATTGTTATCTATTTATTTTGTTTGTTTACACCTTTATTGCATGGTGTCTTACCTGAACTGAAAGGATTGTAAACACTTCAGTTAGTGTGATAATTGCATCATTCGCATCGCATCGTCTATTTTGCAGGCTCAATAGACCACTTTCATAAATGGCTGCCAGATTAATATTCTTTTGTTTAAATTTAAATTAGCCTTTCTGGCCTCGTTCTCCAGTACAAAATTCAAAAGAATACATTATCTCAAGCGAGGGCAGAAAGGCTAATTTAAATTTAAACAAAAGAATATTAATCCAGCAGCCATTTTTGAAAGTGGTCAATGGCCAGTGGTATTTGTAGTTCATGTATGGGAAATAATGAATGCCCTTGATTTTTCCCCATACTCAAGGAAAATGCATCTCTGCGAGTATGCATTTTAAAAATTTCCCAGGGGACATGCCCCCGGACCCCTTAAGTATAGCGTGCCCCACCTATCATTCCTAGATTCCCACCTGTTAAAAACTTTAGCTACATCCCTGGAACAGTATAATAATTAAAAGTTACTCATTAACCCATGTAGACAAGGTATGAGAATAAAGAAAAATATCAGCAAAGGGATTATTATCAGATCCAACACCAAATTCTCTGAACTAAGATTAAAAGAGATTTATAGCAGACAGTAGGGAGAATGGTAATTGACATCTTGGGAATAAAAATAGTAGATAGCAGGGTTTTCACTAGGTATAGGAGATCCTAGAATTCTTCAAAAGTAATACAAACATTTACCTGGGTACAAAGCCACAAGATTGCCAACAGGGATGTCACCCTTGGTTACAAAGACTCCTTTACCAGCTCCAGGGATATTACTTTCAAGTCTTTTGATCTCATAACCTAAGGTGTTGTACATCGTTTCTGACTGATACAAGTTATTTGGAGATTGCGTCTCTGCAATATGAAGAGCATGAAGGAATGTTGAAAGGGACTCAGTCACTTTGGAATCTGGAACAGTCTTGTCTTGATCTATGGAACCCACCTCTCGGACTGTTCTAATTAAAAAAAAACAAAACAAAACAAAACAAAACAAACAAACAAACAAGTTAAGACAGAAACAAGTAAACAAACAAACAAAAATCAACAAGTATTATAAAGGCTAGTAAATGTCCCAAGGGGTAAAGGTGGCGTGACACCACGGTAAAAATAGTGTATATTAAATCATGTAAAATCACACCTGTTCCTTAAATTCAAGGCGATCCATGGTACAAATCTATATTTATAACTTCTCCATTTTTCAATCCATTTTCTAAATAGCATACTCAGATCAAATTAGGTTTCATTGCAGCTGCTGTTTGTGTCTACCACCTCCAAGTTGTCCGCCAGCTTTGTTATTAACAAAGCGAATTTTCGGTCAGCGGCTGTCAAATCGGCCCAGTCTTTGGAAGTGAGCAACAAAAATTGCACATGGCCGATCAAATGTGTTGCAATAGACTTTAAACTTGTTTGGGTTTGTTTCTTTTATTTAGGAAGAGCAAAATGCCGAAAGCAAAAGCAGCCAAGAAGAGCAGAGAACATGGGAAAAACAAGGTGTATCAACAAGGTACTTACGATGTCTAATATAATGTAGTTGTTTCGTCAAAGAAATTACTCAACACACTCTGGTTTATAAAATCGAGTTAAAAATTACTGTGATCTTCAAATGATGAACACAGTGATGATGCGTTGTGACGGTGTGAATATATTTTTTCTCTCCCCATTCCAGCTTTACAGTTCAAAACAGAGCATGGCCAACATATTTTGAAAAATCCTCTGGTTATAACCGGTCTAGTTGAAAAGGTTTGTCCGACGAATCCTTTTTATTTCACATGTTTTAAAATGAAGTCCATTTTCCTCAAGAGATAAACCTAGATAGACGGGCTGGTTCATCTAACACATAGCTCTTGAACCGTATCAACAGAATATAAGTTCAGACTCTGTTCTTTCAGGGTAAAATGAACAAATACTGATGGTTATATATGAAGTTCGGAGGCTTGATTTTACGAAAATTTATCGTTTTAGGGATAGATTTAGGTGACTGTTTTACTCCCTAATAGTTTCTTTAACTATATTGACATGAATTCTTCCTGTCTAAATAATGAATAGTGTTAAAGAAAAAGTATTGTGTAAAGAAATCTTATTTGTATTTTTTAGGCTGGCTTACGATCCACAGACACTGTTTTGGAAATAGGTCCTGGAACAGGGAACTTAACAATGAAGTTATTAGAGCGAGTGAAAAAGGTGGAATTTTTTAACTGCTGGGATTGTTTTCTTGCGAGAGAGAGATTTCATTACTTCCTCACTAAAATATATTTTTGCCACGGGTAACAGTGTAATCAAGTTACTTTTTTTCACCCTCGTCTGCAGGTTATTGCCTGTGAAGTGGATCCTCGCATGGTGGCTGAACTTCAAAAAAGAGTCCAAGGAACGTAAGTTTGGCCCAGTCTATTCATATTCTCTATACAGTTCTTTATACATTTCTCAAGGCGCTGACAAGGAGAATCTGTCTAACATTCAAGAGCTTGTTTAATCAGTGATCATTTCCTGTATTCTCATGACCTTGATGTTTGATTGACGGGTGATATTGTAAGGAGAAATTAGATGGTAATAACTCGTAGGGATTAAAGTGTTAAGACTTGTGACTTTGAAGTAAATACTACCCTCGAGAATTTGCCATACTCGCTCCAAGGAAATTATTAGATCTATTAGATCAAATATGAACTGGGGTCTACTCAGATCCTTTAATAGTGCATTGACAGACTGGAATTCCCTCCCAGAAGACGTGAAATGTCTACCCCATGATGCTTTTAAAATTTCATTGCTTAAATATTTTGAATTTTAATAGGTTCCGTTAGTGTGTGTCATCTCTTGCACATCGATTTTATTATTTGCTGTTCATGTCATACTTTAGATATTTCATATTTATATTTCCTCCGTGAGTTTTTACTTATTAATTACATGATTACTTATTTTGTACATTGTTAATTTTGAGGGCCTCACTGAAAACTGCTATGGCGAGCTGGGCTCCCTCTTTAAATATTTTGTAATAAATAAATAAACTAGAAATGCTAAAAGGTTCATAAATGCCACAGGGTTTCAGCGAGTAGATATGTCAGTTTATATCGTAAAGAATTCAACAGCAATTCAGGTGTTAAAGGTTCTTTCAATGGCTTATTTGATATATGATAATTTTGACTTTTAACTTGTCAGGCCTCAAGCAAGCAAGCTTCATGTGATGGTTGGAGATGTTTTGAAGACAGATCTCCCTTATTTTGATGTGTGAGTGGCTAATCTACCTTACCAGGTATCCACACTGAGCATGCATGATTAATTTATCACAATATTATTATTATATTTTTACTCAACCGTCTTATTTTTTGCTATCTTCATTTCACAGATTTCATCTCCATTTGTATTTAAGCTCCTTCTCCACAGGCCATTTTTCAGGTACACTTTTTTTATCCTTATCAACTCAAATAATGTTGCAGTTTATGTTTGACTGTGGTCAACATAATGACCTGGGGGCTAGTGCATAAGACCCTGGGTTGAGAGGTCTGGGTTGAAAACCTAGATGGCTCGTCAGGTCATGTTCTTAACCCTATAACTCCCACGAGTGACCAAGACAGAATTTCTCCTTACAATATCAAATTCAATACAATATCAAGTGGACAAGCAATGAGAATAAAGAAAAATGTCAATTAAGGGATCTTTAGTTGATCCAATACCAAATTCTCCAACTGACATAATAACAATTGTATGGCAGACAGTGAGGAGAATTACTAAAGAGACCTGGGAGTGCCCCTCTTGCAGTGCCTCTCTCTACCCTAGAATGGGAAGTTTTTTTTTATCCCCTCCCACTATGGAAAGTAGCCTTTTTTAGAGGGCTTGTGGGAATCTTTTAACTGAGAGACTGATACAGTTTTGAACCTGTTGCATGCAAATTTCAAAACGTGAGGCAGGGGAAGGTTACAAGCAGATAAAAAAATAGAATGTCTTGATATCAGGGGGTACTGACAAAAAGCTGTCTGCAGACAAAGGTACTGACAATCTTTTAGGAACACATTAGTCAGTAGTAACCCCAGGTTGGATGCTATACAAGGTGGTGTGTCTCAAACAAGACAAGCTCTGGCTGTATGCAGCTTTTGACTTGTAAGCAGACAAAAGTTCTGACAGTCTGCTAGGAACACATTAGTCAGTAGTAATCCTGGGATAAACTGTTATGCTGTACATGGTGAAGTATTTCAAACCATGACAAGCTGTGGGTGCAAATATAGAACTTTAGACTTGTAAGCTGACCTACATGTAAACCTTTATTTTTATCATGTTTGGGTTCTCCCTTAGACTTGCTCACAAGTTGCGCTTTTGAGCGGGTAGCGCGACAGTGAGCGCAAAGCAAGAGCGAGGCGAGCGAGCGAAAGCGCTTGTGTGAAAGTGTTCATGCGGGTCCTACCACACCAGAACAGAAAACCTAGCGAATGACTTTGAGAAAGTCTAGTTCTCCGTTAACTTGACTATGACTTTCTTTGTTTATTTTTGTTTGTCTGTAGATGTGCAGTTCTGATGTTCCAGAGGGAGTTTGCTCAACGGTTAATTGCTCAACCTGGAGACAAATTGTACTGCCGACTGTCAATCAACACACAGTTGCTAGCCAGAGTGGATCATCTGATGAAGGTATGTTGCATCTTTTCAAGCATCGCAACAATACAAGTTGATCAGAGACCTGCACAAACAAGTTAACATTACAGTGAAGTACAGCCTGCTAAATTAACCAATCATACCACACTTACTAACTGAGAGATCAAATGATAATTTTTACAGGTTGGGAAGAATAATTTCCGGCCTCCACCAAAAGTGGAGTCCAGTGTTGTCAGAATTGAACCCAAAAATCCACCACCTCCCATTAATTTTAAGGTAAGAAGCAATTACCTACTTCAGTAGGCTTAAATGCTCTCACGGCTCCAAATACTACGACCCCTGTTACTTCGGTAGTGAATACGAGGCTTTGACTTCAAAGAGTGACCAGGATCTTATTTCTCCTTGGTACAGTCATCCTGAATCACACATTTAGGTCACAAGAATAAAGGAAATGATCACAAACTGAAGAAGCTCTTGATTGTTAAACAAATTGTCCTTATCAGCACCTCAGGAAATGTATGGAAAACAGTATGGCGAATATGCATACTCGGTGTAAAGCGTTAAGAGGGACACCTAGACCGCATTAAAAATAATTCTTCGCGTCTTTGATTTCTCAGGAATGGGATGGTCTTGTAAGAATCGCGTTTGTACGGAAAAATAAAACACTAAATTCATGTTTCAGGTGAGCTCATTATGTCCTTTTAATGCGGTTTGGAAAACGGACTTGACTACTCTTGTGTAAACATTTACAGGAACTAAATCAATTTTTTTTTAATGTATTCACAAAAACGGCTCCTACTCAATATATTACTATTTTTTTGTGTCTCACAGTTCACGAGCCGTCGCTGAAATGTTGGAGAAAAACTACAAGATTCACTGCTCACTAAATGACATTGTAAGAAGTTAAAATGACTATTTCTACTTCTAATTTAATTTAATTTTAATTTAGTCCATTTTCACTCCATTATTTGCAGTGGGGAAGGACTAGAAAGGAACATAGGAACCATTCGTGCTGGTCCACCCTCCCACCCTCCCACCCATCCCACCCCAGGGGAGTAAATCCATCACACAGTAATCTCGTGTGTGGGAAATTAACGTCTCCTACCCCAACCCTGCAGGATACGGAACCTCCATTTATTCGTCCCTATCCGAGAAGACTAGAATATGTAATCATCTCTTTGATGTTGTAGAAAGGTAGCAAATTCTTCTCAATTATTTTAAGACCCTGAGTGTTGGTCCGGCCGGGGCTCGAACCCTCGACCTCCCTCACGACAGTCCAGCGCTCTATCCACTGAGCTAACCGTGAGGTTAATTGTTTTGAATTTCATCTTAATAAAGAGATAATCTTAATTTTTATGAAAATTCAGACTTGTGAGTTTAAGGATCGAGGGTGCCATGTAACACAACGGCCAAACATCAGGCATGCGCAAATGGATTTATTCTGGCCGGCCGTTCCCGCGCAGAAGCTCATCACGAAAGTCGATAAACAATCACTGTCACGCGTTCATTACTGAGAAACAATTACTGTCACGCGTTCATTACTGAGAAACAATCACTGTCACGCGTTCATTACTGAGAAACAATCACTGTCACGCGTTCATTACTGAGAAACAATTACTGTCACACGTTCATTTACTACCAATTCTTACGTTTCAGATGGTAGATGAAGGATTTGATATCAAAGAGAAAGTTCAAAATCTTTTAACAGAAAATGGATACGACAACAAACGAGCGCGAACAATGGATATGGATGATTTTCTCGGGTAAGAACTCAACGCTTAAATTGGCTCACGTAAATAAAGTGTTCTGAGAATGTTATTTTCTAGTTGGATCGCGTTCATGAAAAGCGAAGCGCACGAATGACGTCATTATATATTCAGATCCTCTCCCCTCCCCCATGACTCAGACAAACAGAGTCCAATTCCAGGTATGTAACAGCTGAAAAGTGAACGAATGGAGGGCAGGTCGCTTGAGCTTTAACGGTTTTCACCGACGAGGACGACTTTCTTGTTCTAAATTTGAGCGAAAACCTGAGAAAATACGCAGCAGTGGTACTTTTTTTTTTTTTTCGGGCCAGTGAAGAGCACAAATTCCTCGATTATTCCTCGAAACAATTTTCTTCGTGAAGAATTTGCTTGCACCTGGCGATGTCTTGCGACGGTTTTGTGAACTTTCTTCACGGATTCCTGCAATTCTTCTAGAGATTTCGGCCACTTCCTAGATACCTTTAGGTTTGCACTCAACCCAACACCATTGTCTGTTGTTAACCATTTCTCTTTCCTCCGATGACTACCCACCCACCCAAGTTCACTTAGTTCTCTGCCTTTTCATTACACTGTTGCTACTTTCTCACCTACAATCGTGGATGGAAATGTTTGTCTGAGAATTTGCGGGAGGTCTCTTGTGACAAATCTGTTTGTGATAAATCTATCTTCTCTTGCTTTCGTCATCGTCCCGACAGTGTATTTTATTTTTGTTATTGCTCAATCTACGTTTAGTTAATTTAGAGCAGTTTTCAATCGAGTGACGAAAGTAATCTGGAAATGAACAAGTTTTGGTTTACGTCTCGCTTTTCATTGAGTTCTCTTTAGCTTCTAGTGATATTTTTCTTGGTTTTGATTTGTCGATGTATTAACTTTGTATGTTGTATTACGACACTTAATCGAGTGGTGCTTTTCTTGCCTTAATTCATTTGGATCACCGTAGGATGGTCAACCGTGATTTTTTTGGTAGTCCAAAAAATTTACGCTTTGTAGGCGCATGCATTATCATAATTTATTTATTTATCAATTATCTGTTTGTTTGTTTTATAGATTACTTCACCTCTTTAATTCCAACGGTATTCATTTTACGTGAAGTTGTCGTTGGTGTCTGAATTATATCCGCTTTAATTTCGTGTACATAGATAGGAAACTTTTCTATCTAGAATTTTAAACTGCATTTTTTGGGTCAGTCGGTGACCTCTTCGCCGTTTATCTGATCACCATCAAGTTTTTGGTAAGGTCAACAGAAAGAAACGCATATTTTTGATAAGAAGAATCTATGTATTTTTGGAGAGAAGACGGAGAAATATCGGGCTACAGCGGATGAAAACTCTGAGCACAAAGCATATGGATTGAAGAAAAGAAGGAAGTGGTGAAAAGGAACCTGTCTAAAATTGAAAGCTGATAAAATTTTTCATGTAATATAAAGAGGAGCCCGAAGACGTTTGCTCTGATAACTTTGTCAGTTAACCCTACATCGCCAAAGAAATAAAGTTAATGATATTAGAGAAAGATGCATCACTCAGATCCTTTGAGTAACGTTTACTAATAGGACTATTAAGCAATGTTGCCTGCTAAACCATTGTTTTTCCCGAAACTACATTTACGTCAAAAGAATGCTAAAGATGGTAAATTTTGAGCTTGATCTCATTCGTTTTATTACAAGCGTGTAACAAAGAAAATGAAACAGAATTCCAACTAGGAACCAAACCATGTATCTTGGGATTTCGCGCTTCCATGCTCAAGGTAAGTAAGCTAAAGAGATGTCAATAATGAGCAAAGCGGCCAAGTTCGATTGCTCTTCGAGACCACATTAAACCATCTCTCTCTATGTACAAGACGCTTTCGATATTCATGTTATGACTTCAATTTCGTCAGGAAACAGTCATGTCTTTATCTTCTTTATCTTGTTAATTCAATTAAAATATTGAAAGTAATCGGTGGATTTCCGCAACCAGAACGTGTTGGCATTCAAGCTAGAAGGTTCTAAAGGAATCAAGAAGCAGTTTTGATTTTCCTCTTACTGATGATTAAAAAAGCAAACCTTTAATAAAAAATGCAGGAAAACAAGTATCGGACAATTGCGTTTACTTTGTATTCTATCAATCCGTAGTTTTCAGATATGGTTACAGATGTCGTTCGCGATCTGGATCTCGCAAGGAATCCCGGGAAGAAACCCGATGTAGATTCCGGCGGCATTTGCGTTGCAGAATCCTAGCGGTAACGCCAGTTGGATCCCGGGCGAGAATCCTGTGGCGATTAATTACCGTTAATCCAAGTATCATCAGTTGAAGAAAGACGTTTAACATTCGAATCGGCGGCAGTCCCAACTAGAGTATTGGCAAATATTGCGGGAATCCCGACGAGAGTCCCAGCTCCCTCGTAGCGATTGGCGTCAGAGCAATAATTTATAGTTCAAAGGAGTTGACAATTTGTCTTAGAAAGTTTCTGCGGGAATCCCGCCGGAAATACTGATACATAACTCCGGGGCCCCGGCGGTGATCCCAGGGGAGTCCGTGCGAGAATACAGAAGGTACGATCCCATGCGAATATCCTGACGCGATCTTGGCGCCATTTCCGTCAGGGCCACATTTTATCTCATGATTAATGTTTGAAGGTTAACGTTTATCACGGAAGGTTTATTGTAAAATAAGGTCATGGTTTTTTTTGGAAAAGTTTGCTCATAGGAGACTTAAAAAAGACAGAGGTTTACGAAGATGCTAATCTCGTTACCATCAATATTTTTAAACTATTTTTTAAACAAAACCATGGTAATAGATAGATCGAGAAATAAATTCGTGAGACTACTCTAGATTTTTGTTTGTAACCTCTGAGAGCAGTTTATTTTTAACTTTGCTGCTGAACTGATTATCACGCTAATGAATAAACATATCAGAACTAACAGGAAAATAAAGTTAAAAGTTCCCGCATCATTCTGACTGAACTGCGATAGAACAGCGGGAATCAGGTGTAATTTCATAAGTCCTTTGGAAAAACACGCTTGATTGCCATACGTGTTTTAGGGTTAAAATACATAGCTATCAACAATGTCTGCGGAACCATGCTGTAAACCCGCCTTAAAAAAATCGTAAGAGGATTTTGTCAGACTGTTGTGGGCGTTCACCGCACCGGAAACCACTACGGAATCCAGTTCATGTTTAGAGGTAGCTACTTGTACCTCACCGGTTTTTTTGACAAATGAGGTCGAGTATGATCCGCTAGCCACGAACAATTATTTTATCACGTACTGACAGGATGATATTGCGTCTCGCCGATACAGATCACTTCGCTTAGCACTGTTGAGTGACTCAAGAACTTGTCTGGATCATTTCTACTGTGTTCGTTTTAAATTCGCTTATCTACACTCACCTTTTGTGCGGGTTTCGGTGAATGAAAACTTTCGTGTTTGTTTGTGCTACCAAGACAAAGGAGGAGTTTATCAAAGATCAATCTACAGATTTAGGAGTATAAATAATTTACGGAATCGCTGTAATCTGCTCATTCTTTCGAGACAAATTCGCCCTTTGGCCCGAGACATATGCATACGACTGACGAATGGTGACAGTAATTTAATTGCAACAGCACCAGTAGCAGACTATTGGACAAGGTTTGGACTGAAGTACACGCAAATGGAGCCAAGGCACCTAAAACTTTGTTTTTGTGTATTTATGATGTCTGCTCTGACGACTTTTTACGGAAGAACTATCAAGGCCAACAGAATTACCTCTCAAAACAGTAAGTAAAGAATTTAAAATACATTTTATTGTCTTATCATGGATTTGTGTACCAAGTCTGTTTGTGGTATGGTCGTAACAATCCAATTGAAGAAGTTTAGGAATATCACGACCTTCTTGTTTAGGAAAAATCGTTGGTTTAAGTATCATCTGGAATGTTCAGTCAAACTCAATAATGGTTGGGCGGAAAATTGAAATTCAAAGAAGATTGCTGCTACTATAAATTACCGACATTACAAAGACATTAATCTCAGCCAGTATTTCGGCAGCATGTACCAAATAAAATATAAGATTGTTTACTAGATCTCGTTTAAGAGTGATATTGAATGGGAAAAAGGATTTTTATTGAAGGTTTCTCTAAGTTATCTCTATTTGTTTACAACTTTCTTTCTGCTATAGGCATGGCAAAAATTTTAAAGGAAAGAATTAAACAAAGATTTAAAGCGAAAGAACGGGGTTTTTCTGTCTGCCGATGTTAGGACTATTTTACATCACGAGAAAAGTTAATAACCTAAAGTTATATCTTTCCTAACTTTTCGACTTTGTTTTAAGATATACCTTTGTTATGAATGCTGTGGAATTAAAACCATGTAGAAGTCAGTCATAAGTTTTTTGCGTGACTTCAACCTAATCGTGGTAAATGAATGCGTGGATGATTCGTTACGCTTTGAACATTTGACAATTTAGTTGTTAGTTTTCATTGCATCATTGGGATATCTGTAACTTTATGTATTAAAATCAACCAACAAATTCCGCAAAATCTACTTTTTTTAACAGAAAGACTTCATTTAAGATGTCCTCAATTAAAAGCAAAGTTTATTCAACTGTTTGTATAGTGGGGTTCGATTGGCTACAGACAGAGATCCCTTTAGATTGTGATGCCTTGATAACAAGGCCACTGACTGGCTTTTTAAAAATTTCATCACAATCAGGTCAGACAAAACATGAATTAAAAATAATTGGATTAGGTAATCAAACATTTCAAAACGAACCAACCTTTGATTTCGTTAAGATTTTATTTACTCTGTGACGCGACAATTCGAGACTGACGCTGAAATGCAAATAAATTTTTTTAATGATATCAACTTAACAACTTCAATAAATCTGAAGTCTAGTCAAGGGTATCGACATTAAGTAACCTTGCAATTTCCAATCTTCATCGGGTTGATAAAATCTTTTTGTGCGGTAGAACATCCGTTTTGAAACTGATAAGCTGATAGGCTTCATGGAAAAATTCAATCGCAAAAATTGTAGCTGAAAACTTAAAGAAGGTAATACTTCGAGCTGGGTTGCTTTTCCCGCAATGTTTGTCTGTAGCGCTCATCGTAAAATCCCGAATAATGATTTGAAAGTGATTTCTTTATATCAAGAGATTTCAGTTAAAAAGAAATAGAAACTAAATCTCTTTTCAAGTTCATCGGCATTGCAGCGCTTTTCACCCGTAAAATGGCTCATGAGTGTATAAGAAAATAAGCTTACTTATATAAACCAGGGGGCTAACGGAAAAGAGGAAGAAAGTGGAAAAAATTTCGTCTGAGCCATTATAAGGAAGGTTGGTTTTATCAAACTGTGGAAGGCAAGGTATGTTCTTGTTTGTCCAGCCTTTATGCGGGAATGTAAATTAAGTCTAAAGCACTTTATGGGTATTGCTTCGTCGGCTTTAGAGGTACACGCCGCTGCACGCAATATCGAATTACTGAAGGACAAAATCCCGAAGGGGAGGGGAGAGGGAAGGATGAATGCACGATATCCTCCCAGAACTATTCTGACGCGACTGAACTACTAAAATTCAACGAAGGTCAAATTATATAGCGCTCATATAGTGAAAGGAATGCTTTTTTTTATTAGAAACTTGTATTTAGGAAATCGATTTGATGCGATGAAACTAAAATACTTTAATTTTTTCCTTTTTTTAGGCCCTGAAAAACTTCCTGACTGCTCTGCAGTTGCATTTTCCTCAACGGCGGTGTTTCTGACCTGGAAAGATTCTGGGAAAAGTCATGAAATGGGAAATTTTTCTGTAAGGGAGTATGTCAAAATTATGACCTTATAATGGAAATTAATGATAACACTTTTCTACGTTTTCTCGACACGTCTTTGTCGAACGTTTTTAACATGAGCCTCTGGCTCGGAAGATTGCACAAGCACTTCCCACGTTTTCGGCATTAAATAAAACATTACATTACATTACAACCAGGTCTAATTTATGAACACTGTGATTCATATATTTAGATTCACTACAGACCTTTGCATTCAGAAGGAAAATTCAAAGTTGTCCACGCTGGGGCACTGTCTTTCAGGCTTATCGAAAACCTTGATGTCAAAACTTATTACGCCTTTAGAATAGTGACGAAGGATGCTACAGGACAAACTTATCATTGTGAAACATTCGCAAGAACAATGAGCGATGGTAGGTTGATAGACAAAGTAGTAGAGGTCATTTTTAGTCAAATGTTGAGCAGCTGTTTAAAATCGTAAAGACAAAAGAAACTCTTTACGTATAGAAACAGTTCAAATCTCGCAGGGTTGCCCTAGACACCAACATGGCCGTCTTTCTGTTGTCATGGTAATAAACATAGCCGCCGTGACGTCATATGAAAACGATGAGGGCTGGTCCGTGTCGCGGGGCGCACCTTTCAAGTCGCGTCTTATTAAGTCGCATCTCTAAAGTCGGGGTTTTCAAGGTTTTAGAAATAAAACTGTTTTTGTTTTCTTTGCTTTTTTTCGTTTTTTTAAATTGTTTATTTTAAGGGGCCGTGTTACTAATAAGCGACGCATAGCAATACCACAATATTTAAGCGCTCTTTTGAATCGATTCGCCGCCAAATAAGACATTATAACGTCTTATCTAACCTAAAAAGATATTAATGGTAACCAAGCTTCCTGAATGTGAATTAAACGGAGCCCCTCTATCTCGAATCCCGAACCTGAATCCTTGATCCAAAGCCTTACGTGTAGCGTCCTACCCCAAACCTTAACTCTTAGCCAATACCTTAACCCTAATCCCGCACTCCGAATCAGGACCTCGAATCCCGCTTCAGTGTCTCGAGTCCTGAATCCCTTATCCTTTTTAACTCCCGAATTCCTTTTCCATAATTCCAAGCCCAAAGCGTAGAGTCCTACCTCCCCTAGATCCTAACCTAGCCCGAGGCTGGAGACCTGAATCCTATAACCTGTGACCCAAATCCCCAGGCCCAAGCCCGATTCTCGAATTTCTGATACCAAGTCAAGGTAAAAAGTTTAATCTTTTTAACTTATTTTTCTCTTAGCTCGATTGTCTGTTCGTTTCCTTCCCGCGCGAATACAAGGACCTCACCTCCGACTTGTTTCATGGACACCTGTGACACTGCAGGACTCCCAACTCATATATCGATTGTTTATGCAGTGGACAAACAATTGACGTATTCATGTCCGCTTGCTCTGTGAAGGAAATCAAACGTCTTGCGCAGTTAAAGGGAAACTTCCGGTAGCTCATCGCATGTATGTCAGTGTTGTAGTGAGGAAGCCAGGTCATAACTTTGAAGAAGGGAAATTACATTCCTACCCCACAAAGAAGGCTTTACTTCCAAGTCAGGAGGAGAAACCAACGAAACCAAGTGAGTTATAATACAAGAGCAGTTATTTAATGGAGTGCCAAAAGTAAGCCGAGTTGTTTTGGTTTTGCATCACTTACCTTCGTGATTGGTTCAAAAAACCCGTGCACCTTTGTCAACCAATCCGATTCAAAGCTGAAACCAATCGCGACTTGGTCGTACGTGTTCTCCAGCGTTTGAAGCAGTTTACATGTTTTAACTTTTAGTTCTGGTTGGCTGCATATGGCATGTTTCTTTTATCCTATTAACCGTTGTGATCATTATGGTTTGGTGCAACGACACATAATCGAAAAGAGCTTTATTGTTCCCGATTTCTTCTTTACCAAGAAACAATAAGCTACGACACTAAGAGTAGTAGAGTTTGAGCTATTTTTTATGATTTCTTCCGTTTTCTGGAATCTCAAGAGGATTCAGGGATGATAACGCGTTGGATTAGGCAAGGGCGTAGCTAAGGGGGGTCCATGTGTGCCCGTGATCCCCCTTCTTATTTGTAAGCCCTTTTTTTGTCATATTAAGTAGAACACGTGTAGCGTGGAGGTCGACATGATAATCTGGTGAGTACCCTCTGTTTGACACAGTGTGACCACCCCTTTGGAAAATCCCGGCTACGTACTGATTAGGTTTTCAGAAAAATCAAAGAGGATTTTTATTTTCTTGTAATTTACAGTTGTAACTTAATTTTTAACGGAGTAATTCAATTTCATAATGTTTTATTCTTGCTCTCCTTCTCTCTTATTTTTTTATTCCTTTGACAGCTCGTGCATCAGGTAACAGGACAACTTTCTTAAAAGTTCAAATCGATAGTTATGACTGGGATTTTGTCATTCTATCATGGAATGCAGTTGAGACTGGAAATAGTCTCGTGACTTACCAAGTTACAGCCAAAACAGGAAATAAAGCCATTGATTTGGTTACGCCAAAAAAATCCATGGTACTCTCAAGCCTGAATCAGCTGACAAGATATGAAGTCATAGTGCAGGCTCTGGAAAATAACAACAGCGTTCCACTTGCTTGAGCTGCAGTCAGTTTTATCACGAGAGGTGAGTTTGCATTCGCCTGACTTAAAAGCTAGGTAATCACAATTTTTTTTCAAATTCGTTTGGATTTGTCTCCAAGTTAAGTTGTTAACAATCCCCAGCTTTTGGATCGAGAAGTCCATTTAAATGCGATATGCTCAACCGGTGTGTTTTACGCGTCGTTGTTGTTATTATCCGGGAACTCCGTACTGCTTTCCTGCCTGAATTACTAGGTCCCTTTCTTAATCCTTTCGCGCCATAGCCGGCACAAGGGAATTTTTAAGAAGTATTCGTTATGTAGCATTTTAAAACTGTTATTATTGCAGTTGCGTAGCTTTTTAAAATTGTAATTTTAATTTGAAATAACACATGTACTGATACATAAATAATTAGACTGCTTAGATATTTTTAGATTTTTAAAATTTTTAGAGTGTTGGCTAAATTTTATCTTTCTTTTGTTTTGCAATGTTATGTTTATTTGTGGGCTTCCTGTAAAGTAGCTTTTAGCTAAGTGGAGTGCCACGTAAGATAAAGTTCTGTTCTGTTTTGTTAATCAAGTCTCTCTCCTCACACAGATCATTTTTCCACCAATAGTACGAATGGGTGCTAGAACATTGATGAATTTTCAAGGGAGGGGTCTCTTGGGTTAAACTTGGATCCTGTCTTGGAGGAGTAAGCTATCCCTGGGCTCCATTTCCAGTAACATAATATTCACCCTGGGCTGGTGCCACTTAACTGCTTTAGAAAATGCCCTCAAATTCAAACAAAAGGGGTTACGGAAAAAGTTTAACCTTACAAATTTCAGTTTTCATCTTGTTAATTCCAACAGATAGAAACGAATGCAAAGAAATACCTGATCAATGTTACGACCGCGCCCAATGTATCAACACCAAAGGAAGCTTCTTTTGTCGTTGTCCTCTCGGGTGGACTGGTGACGGGAAAATATGCAAAGGTTCGTGGGAGTTTCAAGACAACATCTTAGTTAAGACAGTCACATGTTACTTTTATCTAATCTCGGTTGGTCTATCATTACAACAGGCTTTAATATGTTGGCAATGGTGGCTAAAAAAAGGGAACTTTTTTTCCCTTTTTGTACTAACCTTTTTGCAATTATTGTTTTAGAACTGTCACAAGATAAAAGAAAAAGAGCATTTTGCAACAACGAAAGTTTCTTAAACATCAATTGGCCGATAACGTCACAAGGAGAAACAGCTTTGTCATGGTGTCCCTTTGGATCAAGAGGTAGAGGTCTTCTAACACCTCAGATCCGTCTTAGGGTCTGTGCTCTATGTACTTCTTAATTCATTTCATATTTTTTCATACATATATGACTTAATTTTATTCTTAACTAGGTAATATTCTTTGTAAATAATTTTTATCCATTTTATTTGTGTCCCCACAATAGTATGGGATATCTCCCAAACGAGAAGGTTCTTTGACTTTAATAAAGTTTCTATCCATCTATCTATCTATCTATCTATCTATCTATCTACCTATCTATCTATCTATCTATCTATCTATCTATATCACTTCATCTCATCTCACATCTCTCATCTCATTGTCTCTTGTCTCGTATCGCGAATTTCGTATCTCGTATCTCGCATCTCGCATTTCATATCTCGAATTTCGTATCTCGTATTTCATATCTCATATCTCGTTTCACTTATCATGGATCTCATATCTTTTCTCCTATTTCTCATATTCCATATGTGTCTCACATCTGACCTCTTCCCTCTCATATCGTGTGCCTCATTTCACATATATAAAATTTTAACTCTCAAATCCTACGTCCCATATCTTATATCTCATTTGTTATATCCTGCATCCAAGGTCGCTTCCCATTAATCTCGTATTCCATACCTCAAATATCTCGCGTCTTATTTCATATGCTTGATCTCCTATCTTGAAAGGCATACCTCACATCTCGTATATTATCGTACATTTTATCACCAGGTCTTGCTAAGAGACAGTGTCTGGAAGTTTTTGGTGATAACACCTCTCGATGGGGTCTCCCTGATCTCAGTGAATGTGTCTCGGATAAAATGATGGATATCGCACGACAGGTAACGTGTTATTTTCTTAATTTTTTTATATAAGCAAATAACAATGACCAAAAAACGGAAATCCCGATTTTCTCCATTTTTTCATAGTATGAAAAATCGATGAGAAACATTGTTGATCCGTTTGAGTGGGAGGCAAGCCCGCCGTGGATAACTTTTTTTATGTCACGTTTTCATGATTTCTATCAGTTACAGCGCGCTGTGATTGGTCAGTTTAGCGTACGATGGCTTACCATGTGTCCCACCAGAGTCGAATGTCTCACCCAAAGCCACAGTGACTCCAACCACTTAAAAAAGTATCTATTTATCTATTCAATACAGCTGGATGATCCCGACGTCGATGTCACCGAAATCTCTATGCAGCTTGTTAATGCTACGGACATTACCACATATACGCAAGCTCCACTTCATACTGGTGATCTTAAACTGGTCGTTGACCTTATAGAGAAGATTTCTCAGAAGGGCCTGGGAACAATACAGCACTTACCACCTGCCATAAGAGACGAAAATATCAAACAAGTCACACAGGTTTGTCACCCTAGGTTAACTACCTTCGTGTGACAACAATGCTGTCATTGGATTCAGATCAGAGTGTCACATTGTTTGCTTATTCTTATTCAGGCTTTCGTGAATTCTTCCAGCAATATTGTAGACGACAAAGCTCTCGAATCCTGGAAATTTATGCCAGAGGTAAGAGTAAAACAAAGAGAAATTAGAAGGCATTTTTATCGACAGATGTTAGTTTAAATTGAAAGTTCATCGGGTGACCAAATGGTTTCTTTTCATATATCTACATCTTCCTCTCTTTAGGACTCGAGGGCCACTGAGGCAAGTAAGCTTCTAAAAGGAGTTGATGCTATTGCTCTGCATTTTGCCAAAACTGCTGTTGCAAGTGATGCAATCGTCTCTGAGGCTCCAAACGTCGGTGAGTGTCACACTAGTTACTTTCAAACAGACTTCTTATGGGGCGCTGTATAATTGGAGGCAAAAGAAACGAGGCTTGTTTCCTAATATTTAAAATCTACGCAAGCGATTTACAGTTCTTGAGACTTTTGGAAAAACTTTTGGAAAACAGTGAAAGGTTTTCATTGTATGTTCCCATGGCAATATTAACATTAGAGCTCTCGCGATTTTCAACATGTTTGATTGGAGGTTCTTCGGGCTATCAACTCAGCAATAGAAAGTAACCTTTGGTTCATGTGTGATAGGAGGTGGAATCTCTTCGGATCGTTATAATTATCGATATTTATCGCTGAGCTTCGTCGGGTTGTGCTCGATTAGCATTGAAAATTCTTCGGGTAGCTATAGTGCTTGCGGTGTTTCCATTCTGGAATTCAAGAATACTCTTTATATTATCGTGCCTATTCTTTCCTTCCTTTACGGTTAGCGGAAAGGGTAGCTTCTTGACTTAATTCTAACGCGGATGAGCTTCATGCAAAGATCAATTGGTCGTCAAAGGGCTTATTTTTTTTCCAACCGTTTCTCCTCCAGTGTTGAGTGCTAAATCCATCAACGACGACAAACCGTCTTCCCAGCGGATGCCACCGACAAGCAAGATCATGCGCAATTTTACGTCTAGCAGTGTCTTATTACCAGGCTCCGTCTTAATGCAACAACAGAATGAAGGAGACCGGAGTAAGTGACACCGAAACTTATCAAAATTCGAGACAAAAGACGTGCGACCACGTGTTTGCATTTGTCCTCGTTAGTCAGCCTCTCCAATCATTTTCATAGTTTGGTCATCATGTCGGTCATCTTATTTAAGGCCTTGAAAGTTGCGTAGACTTCCTTAAAGTAGTTTTTAATTGTTGCTCTGCTTGATAGAAGATCAATGCATTCAATCCATAACACTGATAATATTCTTCCAACACTAGTTCAGTGTTCCAATTCTTTGTTCTTTGTTCTCTCTTTATCAGGCAAAACCCAGTATATTACATTCGTATCTTACCGCAACCTTGAAGCTTTGATGCAACCCAGTATAAATGAGAAGTAAGTTCTCCTTTGTGGCCTTTCTGTACCGAAACGTAAATTACTTTATAAAGTAACCGCGGCTAGAGTCTACCCAAACTTATAAAGTACTCATAAAGAAGTATGGTCAGTGCTATAGTTTTGTTACTTCGAATTCAATATATTGTCATCAGTTATATCTTACATTATTAAAAACTAGATCATTGGATAATGCAATTAAAGACTTTTTATTGGCTTAGCTATTATGGTATATCAGCCAATATACCATAATCTACAAATATGGTAAGCGTACGTATCAGCTTAAAATTAAAAGAGAGCTAAAAATTTAATAAAATTTAATAATTTAATTTAACGTTTTTAATAAAACAATTATTCCACTCGCACTTGTTGGATATGAGATGATTATAGCCAACTCGGCGCTACGCGCCTCGTTGGCTATCTATCATCTCATATCCAACGCGCGCTCGTGGAATAATTGTTAATTATCCGTTAATTTATTTCAGATCTTCTAACTATACTGAAGATGAGAGTGACCTGGGTAAAATCGAGTCTGAAATTACGTCAGTTTCACTGCACCCGATGAAAATAAACAGCTTTGAAGACCCTGTCGTCATAACCATGAAAAGCGAACAGGTTTGTATCGACTGGCGACAAAATTTTAGTTTGGCAAAGTGTGTTTGCCTTTATTCCCTTGAAACCATACTTACCTTACTGAAGTACGATTTGATGGAAATGTAGAGCTCAGCAAGCTAAGATATTCTTGCAACGCAAAATACATTTTACACCTGCTGAGTCTCACCGCTGACTCAAGAAATATCGTGTTTTTTCCTTTCGGTACAGGATAACAGCAAACCCCAAGCTAACTGTGTTTTCTGGAATGTGTCTGGGTGAGTCAAGAACCATAAATTTTTTTAAACCAAAATGAACCTTTAAAAATGAATTTTGGAGGCAAATGTCTCAGATTAAACACTACGTTTCTTTTCCTCTGATCGGCCGACACGTTATTTAACTGCACCTCAAAGGGCGAAAGAGAACACTGCAGCCTTTGCTTATAAATATTGATAGGTTCGATCTGAAGACAATTTTATACGGAGTTTTTTTTTTTTTTTCAGCCCCAGAGGTTTCTGGTCGAAAACAGGCTGCAATTTAAAGGAAAGGAACTCAAGCCATACCACTTGTCAGTGTTACCATCTGACAAGCTTTGCCGTGCTCATGCGCATTGCAGACATACCAGAAGACGACGTAATGGTTAGTTCATATAGTGTTAAGTCAATTCTCCTTACATCTTACCATACATTTATTTGTTGATCCACTTATTTATATTTTGAATCATTTCTTATCCTTGTGGTGAAAGTTATTGTCTCTTTCATCAACAGGAGAAACATAAATTTGCCCTGAGTCTTATTTCACTGGTTGGTATCAGCATTTCCATCGCAGCTTTGACGTTAACCTTTCTTACCTTCGCTTTCCTAAGGTGGGTGATACAAACTTTACGCTGTGTTTCTTTGGTATGGAGCAATTTTCAATTAATTGTCGAAAGTGATCTAGGATTGCATTGTTTCGCTTTACTATGCTCTGTGATTGGTCCAAAACCTCGCGTTCACCTCTCAACCAATCAGATACAAAGCTTACATCAATGACGAGTTGGTCGCCCGCGTTTTCCCGCGCTTATGGCAGTTTTCTTGTTTTTACTTTGAATTCTCATTGGCTCTTCAGGGTATTTTCCTTTCCTCTGGTTTGCCGCTGTAATTACTTTGGCTTTGGTTTTACGACACATTATCGAAAAGCGCTCTAACCTCGGAAGCCAAACCGTTGTGTCATTACCAGATGCTACTCATAGGTCAAACTTTCCCATGCTTAGAAGATCTGCTTCTCTGTTCCGGTGATCAGTTATCTTTAAAATAACAAAACTACCTTTTGCTTATTTTTTCAGATTTAAAAATACGCGTCATCGTTATTTTGTTCACGCCAACTTAGCACTCTCGCTGGGTTTGGCGGAGACTTTGTTCCTGTTTGGAATAACCAAGACGGCGAATAAGGTAACGGTTTGTGAAGATACTCAAATAAAGTGCTGTATGATGGACAAAACGAAGGAAACAGCCATCATTTATCGCCAAGGGCTCGGAGGATTTCAAGGGGATCACATGATTCTCAGGGGGAGCGGAGGGGAGATCCGGCTTCCCCTCCCCTCCCCTCCCCTCCAAGCGATAAGATGGCCGGTCTCTAAGGATGACTTTTGTGAAAATTTTTGATTTTCTCAATGATGACTGCATCGAATAAACTATGGCAAATTCAATTTTCGATGTAACTGATTTAGATTACATTGTAGATTCAAATAATGAGAAATCGTAAATTCTAACTCAATACTCATATTTTTCTTTAGCTAATTTGTAAGATCGTCGCCATCGCCCTCCACTACCTATTTTTGGTATCATTTTGTTGGATGGCTGTGGAAGGAATCGTCCTTTATCTCCTGCTTGTGAAGATTTTCAGAACAAAAACTCGGCCAGCGAGAGACAGGACTGTGTTCTTTATGTGCAGTTGGGGTCAGTGTCTTTTTAATCACTGCTCGCGTTTAATTCCTTAAAAGTCTTCATTCGAGCTGAGTGGCCGATGTACGTCATACCAATTTCCCTCTGCTTTATGAGACCAAGGACACTTCCAATCTATCTTGGATGGAATAATAGTGTCTCTTACGCTCCTTTCCCTCCCCCCCTCGGTATCACCTGCAGTTTATCGCTTGCTCAATTTTGGCGTCAGTTTTACTCAATCCCGCCTTTTTCGACTCGTTCATTTGCCAATAAGACAGGTTAGGTCACGTCAAACAGTCTATTCGCTTAAAAAGAAACGTGAAATAACTTTATATGTCCGTTGTAAACACCGTTAGCAGTTTTCGTAGTATAAATTTTTACGAATTTTATAAATTAGTATTCTAAGCTTGATTTTGTAGGTTTTTGCAAGTTTTCATATTATAAGCTTTGTATTAATTGAATTTGTAAATTCATGCAATTCAGCATTAGATGGCTGCCATATGGATTTAATTAAAGCTCTACTTTACCTTTACCTTTAAATATGTTGTCTAAACTGTACAACATATCTTTGTATTTACGCAGGCATCCCAGTAATCGTCGTGAGTGGGTCGGCTGTGCTTTTTCACGAAGGCTATGGCACAGAGGAATTGTAAGTAACCTGAAAATGCGAAGATATCTTTATTTCCGATAAAATGATGGAGTAGAACTTACGTGTGGTACATTGACCGTTTTCTGTTTGTAAGACCCACACTGTCCTTTCCGTAATTGGAGCAGGACAGATCATAGAGCTGATAGACCGGATGAACAGAAAAAGCCTTGTAACATTGCTCAATCAACATCTTTTCCCAGTTTTCACAAATTTGGCGTGTAGACATACATACCTTAAAAAAGCCGCTTCGATAATCAATAATCATGGAGTCATAGGATCCATGAAAATGCGCTCATTTCATTTTAACTTACGTGTTATTACGGAGGCCCGTTCAGTTCAAAATTTATCTATTTATATTAATTTGCAACAAGTAAAATCGATTTTGCAGTTATTGAAATAAATTTCGGCCCTGTTTATTTTATTTTCATTGTACAATTTCTATCTTTCATATTGCCCTGCAATTTTTCGATGTGTAATTTTTTTTTGCATTTTTTTCAGGGAAATATGAAAAATGGAAATTGAACAATAAAAATTAAATAAACCGGGCCAAAATTTACTTTCATAACTGCAAAATAATTTTACTTGGTGCAAAATAAATAAATAAATTTTGAACAGAACTGGCCTCTATGTGTTAAATTACGTTGCCGAGAAATGTGAATCCTGACCTTTCTGTGCACAAATTTCTGATACGTGGTTTCTCTGCGTCTCTATTAGGTAGAATATAATATAATTGATGTTTTCTTATGCTTCTGTTTGTCAGCTGTTGGTTGTCATTTGAAAGGCGCTTTACCTGGGCGTTTGTAGGACCAGTTCTTTTAATCTGCTTAGTAAGTTGAACTCTCTATTTTCTTTTATAACATTTCATATAAGGAAAGGTTATGAACCCAGCGCTGCATATTGTTCAGCTTGACAACTAGTACACAAACTGAATTCTGTAGTTAAGCGGTTAGGAAACCGCTGAATGATACAGAGGTTTAGAAATCAGTACTAGCTGGCGTTCAAAAATTCATAGACGACTCAACTAAATCCGACGACTAATGGTAAACGTTTATTTTCTTATTCAACATTCCACAGCACGAACTTAAAGATTTGTGTGTTGTAGAAACTTACCTAACCAACTATACGGACATTTAATCGATTATTATAACGTGAAAGGCATATATTGGAGTTTTTAAGAAGGTTGACTGATGTTCATTTCTTTTTAAAATTTTCTTCCACAGTTTAATTTCATTTGTTTGGGGAAGACGTTTATGATCATGTCAGCTCGAGGACGAACGAAGAAGACAGACACGACTATCGAAAAAATAAGGTAATTCCATTGGGGTAACTTTCCAATTGAGCGACAAATGTATTCCAGGGCTACATTATTGCTACTTCAAAATAATGCATTGTGACCGGACCAGAAAATGCGCGCCACTTTTGAAGCCAATTAGATACTGGGAAACAAAACTTTAATCTTCTCTTTATAATATAATTTGCGAGTTTCTAGGATACGCGTTTTTCAATGCGGTAGTTTGTGTATACTTTGGATTCGTGTGGTTTGCCTATGATTTGGTTTGCTGTTGTGATAACCTCTTCTTTTCAATAATGAGTTATTCCTTTTGTTAAGTAATTAGAAAATATTTGGGAGAAAATGAGTATTTTAAATCAAGGGTATATTCGGCGCTCGTCTGTGTTATCTTTGATGGAAACCAATCTATCGGAACACGTAACCCTACCCTCTCTCCCTAAGTACTTTTGTCCGGGTCACATGATTAATACCAGTCTCCAGTGTTCATTCGTACAGTTGTGTGGAGAAGTTCACTCTGAGAGTCGGTTCAGTTTGTGTCTTACCCGAGAACATGACACAATAAACCCGGTTGGAACCCAGATTAGTACTTGATCGTGACGCCAGGCGTGTTTTTAGCTTAAAACTTAAAACAACATTAACAAATTGTTTTGTGTAACAGATACTGGTCCAAAGGATCTGCTTTACTTTCTTGTCTCCTTGGCCTGACTTGGATACTTGGAGTTTTTGTAGTCAATCGAGACACTATATTCATGGCGTATATGTTTAATATTTTCAACACCTTACAGGTATGTTCAGGAGATTTTATGACAATATTCTTTTACATTTAACAATCATTTAGCCACCTGACCTTATTTTATTTTTTATTTTTCCAAACTGAGTTCTTGATAATTATCCGTTATCTCATAGGGACTTTTTATATTCGTCTTTCACTGCATCGGCGATGAAAAGGTGAGGCAAGCTTCCTTCAGTTTCCAGAAATTTTGTTTAATCAACTTCATTTACCATGTAAACTGGCTACCGTCTTAAGCTAAAGTTTAAGCGATAGCTTTTCATCACTGAGAACGAACATGCATAACAGTGATAGAGTTTATTTCACATTCTCCAAATCTGATCTCTATGTTCCTACTTTTGTATTCAGGTACGCGCAGAATATCTACGTATAATCCGCTGTCAAACACGAGCTCAGGCCTATGGCACTGCTCGTCCATGGTGGAGCAAGTCTGATTCTTTAAGCCGATCTCGAACATGGGAGGAGAGGCACGGGAAAGTTTACAGAAGGGGTACTTTTCAATCAAACATTGATTGCTCAAAGGTTTGCGATTTTTTGGAAATACTTTAATCGTTTGTTTTCTTAAGATATCGATAAGAAGAAGCAAGTGGATGAAAGACAAAGGGAATAAATTCCCTTAAAAGTCATATTTGAAAAGAAATTTTTACTCCAGCTTCTTAAAAACACTCAAGATATCTTGTCTCTTAGCGTTAACTGAAAAATGCTACTCGTGCCTCGTGCATTGCTTGGATGTCTTGATGGAGAACTAAAAAGAGGAGTGATCTGTGAATGAGTTAAGATGGCTAAATTGCCTGAGGAAAAAAGGAGAGAGATGTGACAAGGGATGAGTCTCCCAGCCTTACTCTTTCTTGCACTATAAGTTAACTTAAAAGAGGGAAAAAAAGTTCGATTTTTATGCCAAAGATGGTTTCGGGAGTTTTTGCTTGACAGATTAAATGCTGATCTTTCTAATGTGGAGTGGAATGCTCTCTTTGCAAATGAACCAAATGACGTTAACAGCGTATTCTCCTCCTTTTACATTATTTTTAACAAACTGGGGAACAAGCATGCACCGATGAAAACAATTTCTAATCGCAAAGCAAAGCAGTTCGCCAAACCATGGATCACGCCGTGTAAAGGTTTGCCAAAATCGATTAGAGTCAAAAATAAGCTATACGTCTCGGGTGATAGAGTTAAGTACAAAATGTATAGGAATAAAATATGTACCTTGACTCGCTTAAGCAAACAGCAATATTATACCAAATTCTTTAATGATAATTTGACAAATATGAAACAAACATGGATAGGAATAAATTGTATCCTTGCACGTAAATCAAACCATTCCAAGCCTATTAGTTCTATTAAAGATCCTCATGACAATAATTCAATTTTAAGCAACCCTAAAAAAATTGTCAATATTCTCAATAAACATTTTGCTTCGGTGGGGCCTAAATTAGCAAATAAGTCACCATCCGTCCAGCGAAACTATTTTGATTTTCTCAACAGATCTAATTCTCCTGATACGTCGTTTGCCTTCAATTTAGTAACCCCATCTGAGGTGAAACTAGAAATTTCTCGCATACCGAACAACAAATCTCATGGCTTATATTCATGTCCAACGCAGATCTTGAAGTGCTCGTCGAATGTTATCAGCAATACTCTTGCAGAAATCATACATCTATCTATTTCGACTGGAGCGTACCCGAATAAGCTAAAGATGGCTAAGATCGTTCTTATTTTTAAAACAGATAATAATACTGATCCTAGTAATATAGGCCAATCTCTCTACTATCTAATTTTAACAGAATTTTTGAAAAATTGATTTTCAAGAGAATGGAAACTTTTATTGAACAACATAATATGCTTTCTCCATCTCAATATGGCTTCCATAAAACACTTTCAACTCTCTAATTAATCTCCTGATTTCTGTAAACTTGTATACCAACTTTTTTTCCTAGTTAAGACATGACCCACCTAGATTAGCTAGCTACCTGTGGGCATGTCCAATTTGTTAAAATAGTCATTAGAAATTAGAATAAATAAAGGTTGTTGTTGTTGTTTGCTTTTTGCAGTCTTGCTACCGAAGTAGACGCAATGGTCAACTCTGCCTGTGTAGAGAAACTGAAAAAAATAGATAATTGTTGTCCTGAACTTTTTTCTTTTCGTCAGACGCAAGGTTCTGTCCAGCGGAGAGCTAACACCATGACAGGCCCGGAGGATGTTGCATTTCTAGAGAGATTTGAATATAAACCACCACCAGAAATGACTCACATTTTTGGAACTGTTGGTACGATATTGTTTAGATTTCTTTAGTCAGAGAGTAATATGATTTGTTTGCTAGCGCTAAATGTGTCTTCGCTGAAGCTCAACGAAACTGCGCATTCTTTTCCAAGTTGCGAAGGATCTGTGAACTTTCCAAACGCGTCGGAAAGTACTCGGCAATTGGAACCAACCAAAAGTTTATTCTATAAGAAGTCTGTATCTCAATGTCTGATAGAGACCTTTTCTGAGTTCTTGGTTCTTGAACGTTCTTGGTTCTTGGTTCTTGAATGTATGCGCCTTTCAAGGCAGCACGAGGTTTCATCTGCTTCCGTAATTTTTGAATTTTATTGCCTTAAATGTTATATCTGCTGCCGCAAAATGGTCCAGGTTCGCCCCTCTTTTGGTTTTCTTCGATTTCATAGTGGGAAATGGCCATCTTATCGCGGTACCAGAGCTG